TTCTCCTCCCTTGTTTCTGACCATGAGCTGGGGGTATAACAGTAAGACAGAACTTGTTATCTGACTCCTAGGAGTTGACCAGTCCTTGGAATTTATTACAATCACAAGACAAAGACTTGGAGATCAGCTTCTTAACAAGCAGGCTCATAGTTGAAGCCCTCCCTCCATCACGTGCGCACTATATCCCATATTAACAAATTATTTAAACACAGTGCCACGCCAAGAGAGGAATACCTGGGAGGGCCTGAGGGGAGAGAGGAAGAAGTAATCAGAAAGGCTTCACAGAGGAGGTGATATTCAAATTGAGATTTGAAGAATGAATAGGAGTGTACTATGCAGTTAAACTTTAACAAAAATTCTCAGCAATCCATGATCAAGATAAGTCAAAAAAATGAAAAAACAGGTTTATATTAGGGATTCAGCTTTCAGGAGAAACAGGGGTTCAGCATATATTTCATCCAGGCGGGGCCACTTCCTTCCACAGACTCACCATCGTGCACTTGGCATTCACGTGCAGACTGCCGCCCTTTGAGATGCTGTAAGACCCCATGGTCCCCAGCTGCAGGGGAGATAAAGTGAGCTAACGCTATGTAGAAAGCTTTCCTAAATTAAGGGTTAAGATAAAAAGATTTTGGCCCCATTCACAGTTAACCAGGAACTTCCTCTAGCCAAATGCCCCATTCCCCAAACCGCCTGTCTAAGAGAGGTTTTGCTGCATCTGTCTCTTTGTTTTGCTTTCTTCCCTCTGTTCGCTCCCAGGGCCTTCCTTTCACTCTGGGTTCCTGTGCTCCTGTCTCCACAGCAGCATTTTCTTCTCTTCCTCTCTCCTCTCCGCCTGCTCCGTTGTCAGTGCTTGACTCAGCCGGAGCTATGTGGGAACGGGCGCGGACTGAAGCAGTGAGCCGGGACTCTGAGGGAGAGGCATTGTCTATTTACTCTTCACATGGTAGGGTACACCTCGTTCCTCCTCAGCTGACCACTCTTGTTGAAGCTATTTTGGTGCGTGAGGCCATAATCCCAGACTCCAGATCGAGTATAGAAAGCAATGCACACAGGGTGGATGGTCAGAGAGATTTATGTTTCTGAGGGAGGAGCCTGGAACTTTGACAAGACGCAGCTGGTTGAGGGAGTGAGCTGGAAGATTCAGCCCCAGGGTGAGGAAGAAGAGGAGGAGGGGGCCTTTAAATAGCAGGTGGCTTCGCTGTTTCCATAAATGAAAATGGTACGTTTTCACTGAACACTGATTACGAAAATGGTCTTTTATTAGACAGCTGCATCGACCCATGGGACAGCCCTTGAGGCTGCGGCTGGGGAGCTTGCATGCAGTTCATAAACATGGTTGACTGCATCTCGCCACGCAGCGCCAGGAGTGTTTATTTCTTTCTGCTCAAGGGCTCTGCACAGACTCGTGGGGGTGGGAGGACAGTAATAAGCCAGGGCCTGACTTTAAACACTGCCACATTTAATTATTCTTGCGGCTTGTGTATTTATCTGAGAGTCATTCACCCTTCTTTTGAGAAGACTGAAAACAAGACACACATGTTCTGCCTTGGGGCCTGGGATGGGGCAGGGCTTGCAAAGACACCAGCAGGTCTTTTTATAAGGCAGAGCTGAATGTAAGTGCTCTTTCCTCTGTTAATTAACTGAAAAGTCCCTCTGACATAGCAGAATGGAGGGGACAGGAGACTGAAGAGGACTTCACCTCTGAGTGAATCACCTGCCATCCAGCCTGCTTGCTTCAGGAAGCTGAACCCGACGTCTCATGGCAGGTTGGAGTGGTCCCCTCCACTTGCCAACTTTGCTGGAAAACATGGCAGCCCAAGGGGGTGAGAAACCACAGTCAGGGATGAATCCAAACCTCACTGGCCAGGTCCCCATCTAGGCCAGGGGATCCGTATGATTTCCCAGAAAGGGGTAAATAATAACAGCTAATGCTTATTGAGCACATACCATGTACCAGACACAGGGCTAAACGTTCTATGTCATTTACCTCATTTAATTCTGACAACTCTGTGAAGTTCTATTTTCAGAAGAAGCCACCAAGAAGAGAGTGAAGAATGTGCTCACAGAGACACAGCTGTAAGTGGCAGAGCCGGGATTCAAACCCAGCTTGGTCAGAAGACTAACACTCTTAGCTACCCCACTCTGCTGCCTCTCTCATCCTGCATCGTGAAGGAGTTCACAACATGCCGACCCAAAATACGCCACTCTGGCATAGTGACTATTTTGAGATAAAGGCACTTTAAAAAATAGCAAATATGTGAAAAACACTCTGACGATTCTTCTTTTTCTTAAAAGCAGGAGATAAATTCCCATATGAAAGATGTCTTCTCTACACCAGAAGGAAAGTAACGTTCTTATCATCCAGGATAAGTTGAGATCAAGAGAATTCTATACAAACAGACCTTGTTAAAATCATTCTTATCTTCCTTCGGCCTCCCCGCAGAGTGGTGGCTTTTCTACCATTGCCTCTCTTTGTTCAATATACCATAAAAGCAAGTAGGTTTTGCTCTTTCTTTGGGTCTTCATTCCTTACGGGTTCTCCCGTGTCACCTAAAACTTATATTAAATAAATTTGTATGTTTTTCTCCTGTTGATCTGTCTTCTGTCCATCTAATTCTCAGGCCCAGCCAAAAAGACCCCCGAGAGCGTAAGGGTAGAGCCAGCCTCCCCTGCACCTGCTCCCTCCTAAATGCACCTGTGCTCCTCCCTCATTTTACCCGCTCAGCTGTCTTCCCACATGGGGATGCGGCATTGCAGGGCTGTCTCTTGCTGTACCTGTCAGATTTCCTTGGTCAAATTTGCTTAGCATGGGACTTTCTCCTAAGACGCATCAGGGGTATGACTACTTTGAAAGATGCAAGCAGAAGTTGTCTGCAATCCGTCTGCTAGGTAATGGGAATGGATGCTTACAAGCTACCTGGTGGAACCGCCTTCTTCAGAAACCTGAGAGGGCAAGGAGGCCATAAAGGGAGTCAAGACCCGGTCTAATCTAAGTGCCTCCAAGAGAGAGCATGTGTCAAGAGGCACACCATTCAAGAAGTATCCTACAGAAGGAAGGCCTCTCTCAAATGTACATTTTGTAAAGCCATTTCAGCCAAATGAGGAAAATTGATTTCTCAACACGGAAAGATAGTTTTGACAGCAGCGCTGGAAAAAACATCGGGTCTTGGATGCTCCATCAAATAAATCAACTCGGAGGCTCAGCTGGATTCCTCAAGCAAAGAATATGCAGCTTCTAAACCCTTTCTTCTCCCCCTAGAGGGATGGCAGGCGGACAGACACCCCCTGTCCCAGGGGCAGCCCTCCCAGGCATCTTGCCTTGTGTCCGTTCCCTGGTGGGAGCAGAAGGCAGCACACTCACTTCCCAGATGGTGGGTTTGGGAATGCAGGGGATGGCTGCTCCCCTAGCCCTTTCCTGATTGCCTGGCTTTGGCTTGGGGATGAGAGTGGAGGCTGCTGCTCTGAGAAACGCATTTGCCCTTCAGTTGCAAAACATCTCCGAATGATGGATGAGCCAGTCCCAGAGAAGCAGCAGTAAGTCACCAGCACCTGAAATGCAGCCACCTAGAAGAAAACATTTCTCCCTTTCAGAAGCTCCAGGCCACATGCACAGTAATTAGGACAGGAATAAAAGAGGATCAGATTCCGTTGCAGTGGTAGGGACTCGAGGCGGGCTGACAAAGGAGTCATGGTCTCACGTAACAAGATGAGAAATTTACTCACAATAAGCCTTGACCTTTCCTTTCCTCTTTGGCTGAGTGTCCCTGGTACCCGGTCCAGGCCTCAGAGGGGCCATAACTCTTTCTCAGCAGATGGCGTCCGCCAGCTTAGGAAATGAGGCGGCAGCCCTCCAGTCTGCAGGTGGAAAGGTCGCAGGCGGTGTTGGCCCAGGGCACATGCTGGCTCTGGGCAGAGCCCAGTTCAGAGCCGGCCTCTAGGGAAGCCACCAGCCTCGTTCAGGCCAGATCTCCAAACTTTATGTTCCCATTTTGTGATCTTGTGACCACAAGGTCACTTCTCTGGGCCCTTGATTTTTCTTGTATAAGAGGTAGGGGTCAGACTAAATACGTGTTTTCACACCTTTGTTAGCAGTAGAACCCATTTTATAGACTAAATACTACGAGATGCCCAACAACACGTAGAACACATACAGGTGGGGCTTCTTCAAGGGTAGGATAACACGATGGGAAGGGTTTTTATCGTTTGAATTCCAGCTCTGCCACTTACTGAGTGTGTGGCCTTGGACAAGCGACTTATCCACTAAGCCTTAATTTTCTCATCTATAAAATGGGGATTATAATAATGCCTGCTTCAGAGAGTGAGGGTAGGGATTAAAGAGCTGATGGACGTGTAGCACTTAGTCTAGAAGGGTGCGATAAGCATTTGCTCCTATTAGTCACCATTATCAGATTGTAGCAGGGTGGGGGGCCTCGACTTTCACACACTCAGTCCTTCCCCCTCCTTCTTACTGCATCCTTCTGTAGCTCTAAGGAAGCGTTGAGAGACCTCAGGGCTCTGTGGGGCCCAGCCTGAAAACCACTGGCTTAAAGAGTGTTGCCCAGACTTTCGAAGAGCAGGGTCACCTGAAGTGCTCATCAGACACCTTGGTGACCAAGCTTCAGGAGGTGTGGTTCAGGTCCCAGGGTTCTGTGCTTAACAAGGTGCTCCTTATCTTCCAGCTCTTTAGGGGGATGCCAGAAGAGGGTCCTGAAAGTCCCTTGGGCTCTAGTGCATCAGGATTCCCTGTCTTTCTCTGCCTCAGTCAGCGCCAGGACCCACACCCAGATAGACCCTGTGGGCTCGAGACCACCCGCACCTGCGCCCGGCTCTGAGGTGCCTGCGGGAACAGCTGGGCTTGCCCTCTCACTGACCTCCTGGGCTCTGGATCCTGGCCTCTGGCTCTAAACCTGTGGCCTTTGTCTGTCCTCTCAGCTTCAGCTGACTTTCCTGGCCCTGACATTCGCCCGCCTAGAACTGAGGTCTCCGCTCAACCTCTCCCTGGCCTGTCCTGTTCTGTTATTGCCAGCATCCTGGTGGGACAATTTCATGGGTGGAATCAGAGTGCGTTAGAGTAAGAAATCTAAAGAGATGCTGTTTTCTGCCTAATCTGTTTTCTCCCCATGGGTCAATTTGGCTGCACTTTTATTTTGAAATCAAAGAACCTAGAAACAAATGAGCAAACACCTTATTATTGAGAACCATCTGCAGAAAATCCCACGGAGCAGCTCCAAGGTCAAAGCTTATCTGTTTTGCCTCATGCACAAAACAGCCAGCACCAGGAGACCGGCAGGATGGGAAATCACAGAATCATAAGAAGTTTGGGTAAAAGGAAGCATCTTCTTTCAGTTGAATGTAAAGGTAAGAGTTCTCTCTGCAACCCCAGTCTTGAAACTACGAACATTTGTGTATTTCACAGATAGAACAACGACCATGTTGAGTTGGCTGGGGTGGTCAGGAAAAACCAACAGCAGCCCCCAAACTCATGCTCAGCTCTTTCCTTCTCTTTCATCCCAGATTTTCATTTTTTAAAAAGTGCCATCTGTTCTTTCTGTAACTTTTGCACTGGAGAAAAATAACTTCAATTCTCGAAATTGTGCATTTTCTCTCTTTCTTTCTCCCAGCCTGATTCCCTCTGTCTGCATAGGGGAAGGTAAGAGGGCAGTCAGAAGTGAGTGTCTAATAATACTGTGTGACTAACTCCCACAGGAGAGGACGAGCCAGGGTGCCAGGCTATTAAGCAGGATTATGAGTAAGACACACAGTGGGATTTGCTTTCGGTGCCCGTCGACCTTCGTGCAATGAAGGAAATGTTCTGCGCTGCCCAACAGAGCAGCCACTAGCCGCAGATGGCTAGGGAGCTCTTGAAATGTGGCTAGTGCAACCAAGGAACTGAATGTTTAAATTTATTCCATTTTAATTAATTTAAATCTAAATATAAAGTTAAATATTTAAATATGTGACACAGTTGAGGGGATTAGTGTGTGTGTGTGTGTGTCTGTGTGCATGTGTGTGTGTGTGTGTGTGTGCGCGCGCATGCTGGGGGTGGCTTCAGGGGAGGTGAACAATGCTAGGATCCTTCAGCTTCAGCTTTGACCCGCTCCCTCCTCTCGGTCCCTGGTCCTCCCACACACCACCACCGATTGCCCGAACATCTCATGAAGCAGTTGCCTCCAGCATATGGCCACATTTTAAAAAAATGATTGTAGCTTCCAGCTACTGCTGTCCTTATGTGGGCTATCCTGGTCTAACTATACTCTTCAAGATTTCTAGCATAAAAAGTTAGCTTCACTGAGGATGCTAACTCCAGTCCAAACCATTAAGCGTTTCTTTGAGCAGGAATGTGAGGTCAAGTTTCAGCCCAGATGGAAAGAATGCCACAGTCCCTAGAAATGTCTGCCAGGGCTGCAGGCGCGGGATAAGTGGTGGCACTGGGGGTGCTCGTGTTCACCAACCTCCCAGTCAATCTTCACTGGAGCTTCGCTTCACCCTCTAGGGAAGTAACTTGCACTGATCCAGTACATTCTACACAGGTACTGTTGGGCCCACGTCGTTTGATTGATTCTACAACAGGCAGCCCCTTGTTGACTTTCTCTCCCTTTTCCTCCTAATGCTGTCTGCCTCTCCAGTCCACCATCGTACCCCCAACCACAATAGCTGTGACCTTTTAAAGTCTCTTGGCAAGATACTACTCAATTACATAAATAATTCATATAACTTGATCTGTAGCTTAAAAAGACGAAACTGGGCCAGCCTTATTGAATTAGGGAGAAGAATCCACCCCCTCCCACAAGTCTGCCTTTCTGGGCTGAAAGAAAACAAAGCAATTGACTGACTTCTGTTTTTCTCCAACTCAGTATTGTACAGGGCTTCACAGTTTTTTGAAGTCCTCAGTCATCGACGATGTCATTTGATGCTCAGAACTGACACGAAAAGGACAGGTCACATTTTATAGATGAAGAAACAGAGGCCCGGGGGGACAAATGCCTTGCTGAAGGTCCTGGGGTCACGGGGTTAGTTCTCTGCTTGGAGCAGGGATCTCAGACGGAGGCGAAGGTGAGGTCCAGCACTCAGGAGCGCGTCTGCTTGAGTGGTGGAAAGGCCTGCTTGGAGATGACCCGCATGAGGGTCATTTTTGTTGACCAGAATGGGGAGAGGGCACTCATCCCTCTGGCAGGAGAACATGGGATCTATGTCACATTTTACCCTGGAGCCAACCCCACGGGTCTGTGTCCAGGTCTTCCAGCAGGCTGTTTCTGAGTGCAGGTCGTGAGGTGTGATCCAGAGCACAGGAAGTGGGTGTTCTCCACAGCTCCGTGTGGAACACTCCAGGGCTTCGGCAGGTACGGCCCCCGGGGACCAAGTACAGCTCCAGGCTTTGCCGCTCGGCACCAGCAGCTGTGAGCTCGAGGCGAGAAGCACAGTCAGGGTCTACCATCAGGACATGAGCACAAAAAGGGGCCACGCCTTTGCCCACCTTCTCCGGAAGTCTGGTAAAGGGCTCAGGATGGGGATGAAGGCTGCTCCCTGATTCCCACTTGCCACTGACATGGGACCCAGCTGCCTTGGTGACACACAGGTCCCGGTGGCCTCACAAGCAGACAGCAAAGATGGGGCTGGAGGAGAACAGAAGGACTTCAGTGGGATGGTGCGAGCTGCCACAGGCACTCCCAGAAATTTGGACCACTTGGAGGTGTAGTTGTTAGGTTATTATTGGATTATTATAGTTCATAGGACCTCTCCGTTACCAACAGGCTGGCGAGGCTTGGATTAACCAGGGCACACACTAATAAACAGAAACATGAAAATCTGAAATTCATTTTGAAACATGCTCCAAGCTCTTACCAGAGGCTCCTATGTGAGGCTGCGTAGGCTGTGTGGTCAGACCTGCAGCACAGTCTGAGGCGGAAGAAAGCCAATTAGGAAGGAAAGCAAAGCACAGCTCTTTTGTAAAATGCCCGCTTGCTTACAGGCAACGTATCTTCTGAAAGAGAAGAAAAAAAAAAAAAAGAAAACTCCTAGATGTCTCAGTAGTGGACCAAGAAGAGACCCTGGAGGACCAAGCACGCCCAAAATACATTTTTTTGGCTCTCAGCCTGATGGGAAGGAGGTCACAGCCAGAGAATGAGCCGGACCTGGGCCTTGTGCCCTTCTGGTGCCCAGCGAGCCCTCACTGTTTCCAGGAAGGCTGGCCTCTAATCACAGGATACTCGACAAACTCTCGTTAGCTGATCACCTAATTTTAAATTCTCACGCATTTACATTTTTCAAGGAAATTTGGCAAAGGAAACCAAGTGACTATTTTTGGTTTCTCTTTAGGTTACTTTATTCTGCACAATTTTGAGCCGATACAGCAAGAATATATAATTACATGTGGGGTAGCTTTAGCAACTTTATAGAAGATGAACTTCCTGTCACTGGGCTTTATGTTCTGATGCAGAAGTCATCAAAAGGAGGTGCTGGGGAACGACTCCCTGTTCTAGACATTTCACTCTCAGTCCGTATTTGATTTTCTTTTTGCCCATTTCTATGTCTTCTCCTTTTCCTGTGAGAGTTGGGGTGAGGGAGGCACAGCAGGATCTATGGCTGTTTCTCCTGACCTATGGCTGCAGTGGCTCTGGAAAATTCCTTGCCTTCGCTACAGTGAATTAAGGAACAAGAAGAAATAGTGTCAGGGTCAGACCAAGCTGAGAGCCTAGGGGGTGATGTCTGGGACTGGGAGAGGGGGAGGAGCTCTTGACTTTCTGCTACCTGGCTCTGCACTCCCCAGAATAAATGGTGCCCCATGGAGTGGAGGCCACTGCCCGGGGGAAGCAGGAGCACCCCCCTGGAAGCTGTGTCCATGGGAATTTATTGCTCTGTCTCTTCCTCACCCCCTCTGTCCTTCACCCACCTCCACATTTCAAACCTCCTCATTTTTACCTTATTCTACATATTTTTCCTTTTATTTTATAATGTTTACAAATCCTATGTTATTGTTAGCTTCACCTTCTAACATGTTTTTAACTTCTTACCTCATGGTTTTTGGGTTTCATTTTAATCACGTATAGCTTCACTTTTTATGTTTTTAATCTCTTTTTGGAGTTCAGCCGCTTATTTTAAATCTCATCTAGTTGTAGCTTTCCTTTTTAAAAAACACTCTTAATATTCTTTTTTTTGGAATTGCAGCTTTTATTCCAGCTTCCTAGATACAAAATTTCTTAAATTTTATTTTTTGAACTTGAGGCCTTTGATTGCTCTCATTTTTAAACCTAATTTATTTTAGTTGTTTTTTTCTTCCTTTATTTACGTTGAAATTTCAAACAAAGTTGTTTATTTCTAAGCTTATTTTGAAATGTCTTTTCATGTTTAAAATGTTTGGTTTTAAGCCCATCTTAATCTTTTAGCCTTTTTTTATTAGTGAAATTAAATTTTCTTTGTTAACTTTCGGTTCTTTTCATGTATTTTCTTATTTTCCGTGATTTGTTTTTCAAACGGTCAGCAGACAATGCAGCCCCAGGAGGGTTATTAGTGGGAAGCCCCATGGCTGGGTTGGAGGTCCGCCTCCCCTCCACGGTTCCTACAGTCTCCTCCCTATTCTGTAAACAGAGACACCAACCCAGTCAAGGCTGTTGGACAAGGACCCTCTCTCCAATTGGCTGGAGAGATCCGAGGGTTAAGCCCAATGCTGTGCTCAGCAGTAAATCTCATTGTGCAGGTGGCACTTTAGGAGAAATAATCCAGTGGGCCTCCAATTCTGCGTCCCCTGTGCTCTGAGGCTCTTCGGGGCCTGGCTAAGATCTGTGTCTGGCTCTAAGCTTCCTCCCTCTTCTCTGCTCTGCCAGAGGGGAACAGGACGCCATTCTGAGGAGAGTAGAGTGCCCAGGATTTCTGGGTCAACTCTGAGCCTATTGGACTGATGGGCCTCCGACACCACGCAATTTGTCTCCAAACCTTCCCTGAGTCCCTTTGGAGGAACCCCCAAGGGCAGCTGTGTCCCCCAAGATGGGATCTGCCCCACCATGGGGTCACCCAGCGCTCTGCATTCACGCCTGTGCTGGGAAAGGGAGGCTTCCTTACGCTCTTCCTGAGGGAGAGACTACAATTCACACGAGAGACTGCCTTCTCTCGTCCACATCCACCGTGCCTGGTAGTGCCCCTTGAGAATGCTCCTTTGGCTCTGTTACCAGCAAGCTCCACTCTAGTGCAGGTTACCTCGTTTGGAAATTTTACAAGCCCCCTTAATTCTAGAAACCGTTTAAACATAAACTGTCGTAGTTTGGTGGAGCTTGGCCAGCCAGATCTGGTGAGCCATCTTACCAGGAAAAGCCCAACCAAATTCCACTCTAAAAAGCTTGCCCTTAAGGCCCCATTATCTCTGA